CCAGGCGTCGGCCGCAGGTGTGACGTTGATGCTGGGTGTGGATCCTCCTGCGTGCGCAGTCAAAGGATCAGTAGCTCCCAGATTAGATCGCTGCTTCGGCGCGTTCGGCGCGACATTGCCGTATTTTTGCGACTGCTGCTGTTGCTGCACGTAGCCTGCTTGGGCAGCGCGGGGAGATTGCAGGGGATCTTGTGGGTAGGCGCCGTGATGTTTGTTGTTGGCAGGTAGATGGTCGCTATTGCCCGTGCTCGGCCTCGAGCTGTATGCTTGCTTGTAATGCGACTGAGGGGATGCAAAGGAATTGTAACTGTCTCGACTTGCAGATCCTTTCAATGCGGGACTTTGCGGGCTGCCGATAAGGTTGTCCGAACTACCGCTCTCGAATTGGTTCCTTTGCGTCTTTGGCGTGGATAGATGAGCGTCGGCGTTTCCGACTGAACCACGCTTCGTCACATCTCTTCCCACGGTCGGGCTGGGTGCAGTCGCGTCGTAGGAAGCGAAAGAGTCGCGCTTCCTATGTTTGGCAGTCATGATCACTGAACCGAAAGTGACTGCAGAGATTGGCAGAGAAATGCAGAGAATTAGTGTGGGGGTTTTTTTTTTTCTTTCTTGAAGTGTCGCCGGTCTGTCTCACTCACTGCCTAGCAAACCGGCCGCCGCAGATGCACCAGTTGCAATGATGTGGAAGGGTTCAAGAAGAGCAACTCTGACGGAGAGGTCGACAAGACGATGTAAGCAGAAGAGCAAAGTTCTTTGTGAGCACGCCATTGGGTCTCTGCAGCGCTAGTCCCCAGAAAGGTGCGAGTTGCTGATGGTGTCGACTGCCGTTGTGACTCACCTGTACAGCAGCACCACCGCGCTGATCGATACGCCAATCAGAATGATGGCAAGAATGAGGATCAAGCCTCCGACAAAAGCCGTAGGCTTCTTGAACAGCAAGGCCCTCTTGAATGCAAAGGTCAAGATGGCCAACGCAGCAATGACGGCGATAGCAATATCCACCCCAGCAACAGCCTTCAAAATTGTCAATTCCCGCACAGGATATCCCTGTGATCCTCGCGGCACATCTCGAATTCCCATCGAGACGAAATAGGCAGATACGATGCTTCCGGCCAGTGCGAGGACGCCAAAAAAGATGACGGCTGTTAGACGACTGACAAGACCCTGGCCGTCATCGTATGGATCTATCGCCCGACCCATCTTGGCGGCACGGGAAAAAGGTACGGGTGGATGCGTGCGCGCTGGAACGGTGCCGGGGCTAGAACTGCCGGCAAGGTCGAGGCCTCGTGAATGGCGGTAAGATTTTGCAGCAGACCGAGTAGTTCAGAGAGCGATATGCGGCGATTAGCCCAGGGACGATGCACGATTGATGGGCCTGTATCGGCTCCGTCGAGACTGACTGGACAAGTTGCCAAAGATCAAGGTGAAGGATTGTGATGCGCAACAAGTCGGATGTTTGTACAGACAGGAGAGAGGGTTTGGAGAGGAGCAAAGGGGGGCGGGTGAGGTGGGGCCACGAGGCTACAAGTCAAGAATCGTTGTGGTCGAAGTTGGCGTTGCGGGAGGCGTTGGTGGTGCGAATGGAATCGTGAACAGCGTCGCGAGTGCCCGATGAGGCAGGCAATCAAGAATCGCAAGCGACGGAGTTCCGCGAGCGAGCAGCAAGCGATATGGGGGAGGGGGAGGGGGAGGAGGAGGGGAGGGATGTGGACAGGCTCA